GCCGGCAACCCCCGGAGCCCCTGCCAAAATAGAAACAGGGGGCTGCTAAAAATTGCCACGCTTGCAGAATTTTATGAGGGGGGAAAGGAAACCTTTTTTGGTATATTGGCATCATCATAACCCACGTCGGGACAGAAACCAGGATGCCCAGGAAAATGGAAGCTGCTGCCAGGGGGAAGGTCCCGGGGCCCCGGGGGAGCATGAGGTCACCTCGCACCTGCCGGGCCGGACAGGCCCGTGGGCCTTCCTGCTCCCGCTGCTGGAAGGAGGAACAAAGAGCCGGTTTCCCGATTTGACAGAACACAGCACAACTGACGATAACCACAAAGAAGTCTCCCCATTTCCCTGTGAGGAAGGGAGCGTGGGGCCTGGATGTGGCCCCGGGGTTCTCGGGGAGCACATGTGACGACAGGGGCGAGTCCCCCGGGGGCTGCCAAGGGCGGCCCAAATGTTTGCTGTCAGTACTGGGGCCGGGTTCATGCTTTTTCTTTCTTTTTCTGTAACCCTCACCCAGGGATACTTTTTCCATTGATTTTTTCAGAGAGTGGAAGGGGGTGGGGAGAGAAACATCGAATGGTTGCCTCCCCTACACACCGCGACCAGGCTGGGGGATTGAGCCTACAACCCAGGTACGTGCCCAGGAATTGAACCCGAGACCCTTAGCCCTCGGGCTGACGCTCTAACCGCTGAGCACACTGGCCGGGCTGGGGCGATGCTTTCCAACGGCCAGGGACTGGAGGAAATCTCAGGCCGGGCCCTGGTTCAGCCTCCAGGTCCCTGAACTCGAACATCATACAACTCGGACGTGTACTTGCAAGTGAAATAAACACTCCTGGGGTGAAGGGAGGCCCCGAAACCTGTGCTCGTGGTCCTCCTGACCCATGGGTGACACCCTCACGGTCACAGGCTCCTCTCGGGAGAGCAGGGACCTCGTGTTCCAGACGAGGTGGGCACCGCGAGCCGAAACCCCAGTCGTGCTCTGTCCTGGAATGGACAGCGTCCCGCGTTCAGACGGGATGGACGCTCCCAACCTTCTAGCCACAGGGTGCAGGGGGGTCAAATATTTACTCAGCGCACAGCCCGGTGGTGATTCCCATTTATGGCTGGTTTGTTTTTTTAACGGACCTTCCCCGAGACGCTCTGCAGCTCTTCACTCCCTCAGTCTTCCTTCTCCAACTTGTCGCTTCTCTAGTTTTGTTCAGGTTTTGAAAGCACCTCGTTTCGGAGCCAAGATGAACAAAACCTGGCTCTTCATGATGCTGGGAACAGACTCAACAATTCGCAGGTCTTTTACTTTTTTAAAGGCAAAGCTAATCAAAAGGGAAAAAGTGGCCCATTCTGCCCGCTGATGGGCCTGCTGACCCCGCAGAGCCCGATCCTCCCGTTGCCCACCTGGGGAGTCGTACGAATCAGCAAAGCAGAGGGCGAGCGCTCCCGCCCTGTCCTTACGTCCCGTGTGGACTGTCTTCCTGTCCCGGGCTCTCGGCCGGGTCCCTGCGCGGCCGCCGTCCCTCTGCTCAGCCGGGCTGGTGGGTGCTGACCGGCCCCAGCCACCCGTGAAGCTGCCCGGGCCAAGCGGAGGCCGCACCAAAGCGCAGGCCAAGAGGCTGCCTCCCTGCGTCCCTGACAACCTTCTTGACGGGCGACCCACCCAAAGGCCTCGTACTTGTGGCCAAAGACCCGGAAGGCAGGCAGGAAACCACCAAACCGAGAACTTCCCAGGGGGCCTGCGCTGCGTGGTGACGGGCACTCATCCAGGCTGAGGGACCCTTACTCCAGCTAGAGAGGCATCTACACACAGAAACGGAAAGCGCCAGAAAGGCACTATTTCCAGAGGCAGATTCCTGGCTGGGCACTATCCCGAGAGGCCGCCAGCGTCCCGAGAGGCTGGAACTATCGTGAGAGGCCGGAGCTATCGCGAGAGGCCGCCGGTATCGCAATAGGCCTGGACTATCGCAAGAGGCCCCCGGTATCGCGATAGGCCGGAGCTATCGCGAGAGGCCGGAGCTATCATGAGATGTCGGAGCTATTGCGATAGGCCGGAAACTGTCGTGAGAGGCCCCTGGTATTGCGATAGGCCGGGGCTATCACGAGAGGCTGCAGGTGTCGCGAGAGGCCCCAGTATCGTGACAGCCCCGGGACTATCGCGAGAGGCCGCAGGTATCGCGATAGGACCCCAGTATCGCGATAGGCCGGGTTATCGCGAGAGGCCCCCGGGTATCGCGATAGGACCCCCAGTATCGCGATAGGCCGGGTTATCGCGGGAGGTCCCTGGCATCGCGATAGGCTGGAACTATCGCGATAGGCCCCCAGTATTTGCGACAGGCTGGAACTATCGCGAGAGGCCAGGGCTATCGCGCAGGGACACCAGTATCACTCACATGGGTGGAGGAGAAAAGGCTTCCCCCTGAATAAGCCGGGTCTGCCCTGCCCTGTGGCTGCCCCACCTGCGCCATGGACAGAGACAGGAGGCTCGTGTGAGCACGATGTTCTCTGTCGCCCACACAGAGGGCCGCGGGCTCTGTGCACCCCGGCAGACCCCACGCCCTGAGCTTAGCTGGAATGTCCGCGTGGGCGTGCGCTGGGTGACACAGCGTGACGTGCATCCGCCCGGCTCTGAACGGGGACAGCGGGTGTGCGCACCCTCGAAGGACCCCCAGCCGCGGGTCCTCGGTGGCCCAGCCTGCGCGGCCACAGCGTCCAGCTCTGCAGGACCGGAAGCTCTTGGAGAGAAAACACAGGTTTGGTGTCCTGTCCTCCCACATCCCCTGTCAGAGGCAGATGGTTTCTGCCTTGTCCACATTCCCCACTCGTTTCAGGAGAGAGTGTCCTGCACCACCCAGGCTTTCAAGCAAACGTTCGGTCAGCCAGCTCGGCCTCGCGTGATCGGTCCAGCTGGACTCGGAGTCTTCCAGCCGCGGTGGTGGCTTAGTCCGGAGCCCAGCAGCTCCCTCGGCACAGGCTTCCGCTGTTTTCCTGGGAACCTAAACCCCGGAGTGTCCAGCGGCTCCATCAGTCTCCTGCAGATGACCCCCCCAGGAAGTGTGCCGGCCAGATGTCCCTGCCAGCTTTCCCTGGGAACACCCAGAGCTGGTGCACGTGTGTGCACACGCACGCACACTCACACACACACCCCCATTAATCAGAGCCTCTCTGCTTTATCTCCCTGACCCCGGCCAGCGCTGCCCTGATCGGCGATTCCCATCGCATGAGGAGTGTGGATGCTTTCTGAGGGCTGGGAGGCTTTTGTCAGTTGGGCTCTTTCCAGCATGAGTCACCGTCCGCCTCTTCTGCGTAATTAGTGCTCAGGGAGTTGCTGGTGTAACTCTGGTGAAGGCTGGAGAAATTAATCAGAGTGCATCTTACACTTGAAACACAGGCCCACCATCCGGCCAAACCCCCCGGCTCTGGCACACGGACAGGCGAGCCCTCCCTCCTCTTTGCCTTTTTAAAAATTTATTTTTAATTAGTTTGTGATTTCCCACATGCTCAACACTTGCCTTCCTCCCTCAATCTGGCACTTTCCTCTTCAGTATTTTGTTCTGGGAGGGTTTTTTTTGTGG